TTCGGCTCACTTTTGAGCCTTCTTCAGAGACAACACAAACTAACATATATAAAATGTGAATAAAAGTTATCTTGTCATGGTGAGCTCCCTATGATGCTTTATATGATCATGAGGAGCTCACCATGACCAGATAACTTTTATTCACATTTTATATATGTTAGTTTGTGTTGTCTCTGAAGAAGGCTCAAAAGTGAGCCGAACATATAAGCGCGTTTAGTAGAATGAAGAAGTTTTACGCTTTATAGGTGTATTATTTGCGCGACGTCTTCTGCGCTTGACTCCTATTTCCCATGTTCTTTCCTATTTCTATTCATATTAATAAAATGATACAAAAAAGGAAATGATATATGCCTCTTATCTGTCTAAGTACATTATCTTTATATCTTTTCTATTCTATATAAACATCAATTTTTGACAATATACAAATTTTTTTTTTTAAATAAAATGTCGGTAAGGTAACTGATTATCTTATCTGTAATTATCATCGCTTTAATTACCGACATTACCGACATTAAAAATTTGTCAATCGTCAACATTCTGCAAATTGCTAAAATTTAAACTCCCATTGCAAGAATAATAATATTAAAAAAATATACATATAATCGATTAAAAAATGCCATTTCTTAAAATAACAAAATTTTTAAGTCTAATCTGTTTGAAATGCAAAATTTTGAAAATTCAAACATCAGAAAAATATAAAGGAGAAAAAAAATAAATAGACAACACATCTGTGGTGTAAATAAAGAATTCCAAGCATTGCAATTTTGAAAATTAAACTTATTATAAATTCCATTTCGTTATCTATGTTCAGTATGATGAACAATTATGTCAACACGGTACGCAGTCATGATACATAAATATTTACATATAACGCGCACACTCCGTACACCTACAATTGGAATGTTCATTGGTGCAACTTCACATCAATGCCTGTTCTGTGTCTACTGGTGTCTACCTGGGACACAAACGATATATTGAGGTTAGCGGAAGTCATATGCAGTCGTATGCGTGAACGGATCACAAGATAGCTCCACGACTGAGGCTAAATTCCGCTAAATAATTTCAAATTTCGAAAGTTTACGTCCGGTGGACAGAATCGATGCTGTCGCAACGCCCGTTGCGTTCGTGGCGCGAAACGGGTTCGTGTAATAGTTTCGTGACGTGTCTTTGCTGGAGTTGCTCGTTGTTTGGCAGGTGCGAATCAGCTGTGTGATTCCCCGTACACATCACGATCTGATATTTTATAAGCGCGTCCTGGACCGTAATTGTAAACGAGATGTCTCCATTCGTTGAGAGTGCCTCGATTACGAATAAATTTGTTTTCTTCCAAGCTTCACGATGATTCCATTTAACCCAATTCCTTCACGTGTGATTACTGTACGAGTAAACTATAACACTGATGATATAACACAGTTTTCTATCAATTTTACGTCAGTAGAATTTTTCAACAAAATTCAGACTGTCTTTTACGACTGATGTTCCTCGTAATAAGTTGTTTCTCGTTGATGAGTATTACACTAAAAATAATGCAGTTCTTTATCACTCAACATTTTTTTTATATCTCTCTCTATATGTTTATTTTTCGTTAGACATAATTTTTCTAAATATACAAAATTCTTCTTGAGTTTTACTTCTTTATTTAATTTGTATGTCATGTGTAATGATATGAACAATATCATTTCTTTTATCTATAATCTAATATACAATGATTTATGTAACTATACAGAGTTTACGTACAATGATCTTATAACTATACAGAGTTTATTTTACAATTTTCAGACAAATCTACATGTTTATATCAAGATAAATAATATTTATTCCAAATTGTTGATATTTCATTGAACACAGAGAAATGGTATAAATCAAATAATATGTCATTATTATGAGAAAGCAAAGGAGGAGTTCTTGATAAGACAATTGGTGACATCTTTAATTAAGGGAATTATAAAAATATGCTACATATTCTCTACCAAGCACAATGTTTAAATTGGAGTCCTACATAACACCAGTGATTCTCAGCTATGTAGAAAAATATGTAAAAAATTTTAAGCCGGAACAGTCACAGGTAAAATATATATACATACGTTGGAAAGTGTTGCTGTATTAATTTATTTTATTGGAAATTATATTTTTTAAAAGTTCATATTTTCTTTTATTCAATATCAATGATTTAGAATAAGAGGAAGTAATGTAAGGATAAATAAATGTGACTAAAATAATTGTGTTATTTCCAAGCGTAAAGCTTTGGTCGCTTGTTCCAATCAAATAAATAAGTAATATATTGAGCAAGCATACTTAATAATGATTTTTAAAACAAAATAATTCTTCAAGATATTTTAGAGAAAGAAACGTTTCTTCCAGGTATCTTTGTGGGGTGGAGATGCATCGTTTCAGAATTTGGATCTACGATTAGAGGTATTGGAGGAGCAACTGAATCTTCCATTCGTCTTTGTTAGTGGCCATATACACGAATTGTTAATACATGTTCCTTGGGTAAAAATTACGTCTGAACCAATAGTTGTTACCATTAATACTATAGGTAGATAGTAGTATTATATCATTTAATAAATTAGAAACATTTTTTTTAAGATATATTAATATACTGCCTGTATCTCTTTTATAGAGTGCATTTTAAAATTAAAAGATGAAAATATCACAGAAACCAATACAACGTCATTACAAAAGAAGAAGGAGATGGTACAGTAAGTATTGTTTTTCATAATCTAAGTTATATGAAATTTTATTGTTTATAGTTATTATTAGTATTATTTATTAACGGTATTTTTATTTATTTATCTGGTAGTTATTAATATTTATTTAGTATCAAAATATATACGTATAATGATATTTTTAATTTTTCATTGCAGAGAGGAAGCTCCACCTGGGTATATAAAGAGTATAGTTACGAAAGTTATTAATAATATCACCATTCATTGCAACAATCTCATCTTAAAATATGTAGAAGAGGATATTGTTCTTAGCATAAATGTCAGATTTTTAAGTATGCAAACCGTCGACAATAAATGGGAACCAGCGTTTGCCGGTAAATATTTTTATGTATAATTACAAAGCCAAAAATTGTCTTAAAATTACACTTATAATTAAAATATTTTAATAAATTTAATTAATGTTTAGAGGTCAACACTCAAGAAGTAATGCTTAGAAAAGTTATTACTATTCAAGACTTGACATTGTGCTTAGATAAAATGGATGCATCAGGAAAGATAGAGATATATCAGGTATTTCTGAGATATATTTTTACATTTATCTTAAGAAACATTGAAAACATAAGAAAAATATTTTATATTGAAAAAATATCGCATGATTTCGATATTTTGCGTATATAATGTGTTATATTAATATTACAGGATCCTGTTTTGTATCGATGTTCAATGACAATCCGAATGATTATAAATTATCATAACAACACTTTAAAGAGAGCATCTATTACGAGACTTGATCTTCATTGTGAGAAAATGGAATTTAGCATGACTGAACAACAAGTACCAATGCTCCTAAGATTGATTGCCTTAATAATGGCGTTACAAACAAAGCAATTTCCACCAATAAAAGAAAAATCCTCCATTATTGTGGATGAGAGAGAAGATGTTGCACAAGGTTTAATATTACTTGAGTGCTGTCTAAAATATGTATTTTGGAAATATATAATATAAATATTTCAGATGATACAAATCAGGTAGCAGGGACTTCCACAGATGCAGTTGGATGGGGTGGTTGGGCTTGGGATATAGTATCATCTGTTCTACCTGTTGACTGGGACAATAATTGGTCTGCTGAGCAACAAATGGCATATTCTGGTCATACCGTACATTTAGGTGTTTATATAGATGATGCTACTTTAACATTTAAGGTATAAGTGTAATATACTTCAGAATTGTTTCTGTTCTAATCATGGAAATAAAAAACTGAATTTTATGCATTTTTACAGACTGTTGAAAGTGTCAAAGAGCAATTATTTTATAAATCTCGAAAACTTAGGTACAAATCCTTTTTATCACTTCGATTGAACGGGGTTGTGATAGATACTTTAATTCAAGGAATAACAATGACAACTTTCCAAGTTGGAGTAGCGTGCGTACAACTTTATCCACGAGGAACGTGCAGCTGTGGACATATAGAAGTTGCTGACGGTGTACAGGTAATGTAATTAATTATTATTGTCAGAGGTATGAAATTAGATGGAATATCTGAGAAATAAATTATTATTATAGCCACCTCTTTACGTAACAGCTGGGAACTTGAATACTGACCACTTAAAAGATTCATTGTTCGACAAAGAAGCCACGGAAAATAAAGGGAAAAAAAGAGATTATAAACAAGGAATAGATCATCATTTGACGACAATTTCGGGTATAATATAACTTAAAACATATACACGTCTTATACACAGGAAATAATAAAACTTATATCTTTTTTAGTTGACAAATTATTAGAAAGATGTCCAGCGTTTGTGATGGATTATGTTTATTATGTAGAATTACCTGACGACATAACGCCTGAAAAATTACTCGAATTTGGTTCAAATTTTGAATACAGGTGTTTGAAAAATCTTAAAATAATTATATGTAAAAGAATAAAAGAATTCCTATAAACAACTTACCTTTTATAGCAATTTTCAGGAACGCAGAGTAATAAGATATGTAACTGGAGATCTAACAATTAGATTATGTTCCGGTATTTTTCATCGTATTGATACTATCAAACAAGCTGCCGCAAAATACGATTATAATCCTTATCTTGTAATGAAACCAGGTAAATACAGTGTGCTAGTACAAATACATTTTGGTTTAACTACTAATCTTATATTAAATAAAAATTGTAAGATGCGCTACATCTAAATTTAAATTTTAGATCCTCTTATCGATGAATTGCCTCTTGTTACATTAGAAGAATATGAAGCACTTAGGGAAAATGTATCAATGACAGAAACAAAATTTGTATTAAAAAAGGCGTTACTACAGCTACAATTAGCAGATCATTGTGTCATTGGAGTGCCACGACAACGTAAAATTATCGAAACGCGAGTAAGATATCTCTTATACTTTTTTTGTTAATTATTTGAAATATTTATAAATAATGTCTTTCTAGACATGTCTTACACCATTACCTCCAGCTCTAACAGATGATCCTTTTGTAAGCATTGAATGCGATGAAGCAATTGCCACTATAGTACAGCCTATGTATCCGTTTAGACTCATAGCTTGTGCGTCAAAATTAACAGAACTGTCACCAGAAATGTTTATTCAGTGCCATGCGGTTACTGATATACAAGTGAGCAAAGTTTTATACACGATATTTATTACACACACATTCAAGATTGATATTGAAATGCGCTTATAGGTGATTGGAGTGAAAAGTCAACTTCACTTAACGAAAACTTGCGACACTTCAATAGTAATGCCTTACTCAGTGAAAGCTTCTTCAAAAATATTATTGTATCCTCAGTATTGGCGAGATATAGATATGATTCAAAAGTCATATTCCTTTCAATCAGATAGTGTTACTATTACGGGAACTAAAGCAAAATTAATAGCTGCTGTGGCTATAATGACTTCCGTTTTTAATCCTGCAGATACAACGAATCCACTTATCTGTTCTACTCTCTTTAATGATGCGTGTCAAGAGAAATGTATGCGAGTATTAAATACTATATTCTATCATTTTATAAATTTTTAATTTTTATTTCATAAAATATATAAATTCTATAAAATTTTCTTTATATGTTACAGGTCCAGTATACTTAGAGTTATGCTTAGAAAATATAAATTGCAAGAATGTATCGTCTTCAGTTACGATATCAAACGAAGTCAATATAAGTTCTATAAAAATATTTGCGTTCAATGATTCTCAACAAGCCTTTATTCTTTCTGGTCCAGAAAATTATGATAGCAGGTTCGCATTATTAATATATATATATTAATAATGTATAGTTTAGATAATTTGAAAAATTTTGACTAATTGGATCTTTATATTCTTAGTGATGCAGGAAATGTACCACTGTTGTCTATTGTGGTACAGTTTCCTAAAAGTATTGAAACGCAAACACACCCATCTCTTGTTTCGTTTAAAATTTCTGAAATTAGAACATCCCTAGATCCACTTTTTTTTGAATGGTTGGAATATTGTGCCATTTATCACAAATCGGGAAATGTATATGTATTGCGTTCAGACAGCCAACAATTAATTACTGAAGGAACATCATCTGATACAGGCACGCGAAAAAAGACATTTACGAGTCTACATGAAAGCGTGCATAGTTCATCGGACAAAGAGAAAAAAAGATCAGCCGTAACAGAAAAATCGAAAACATTGCGAAATGATGAAATACAAAAGAAAAGTGAATTTAAAATGGAAGGAGAACAACAGGTATTAAGATTATTTATAATTATTATTTATGTATCATCACATAACGATTGTATCGATCGATTACTGTTTAAATTGATAGAGAAAAACTATTCTTTCTAAAACAATATGATATATTGTATGTATTAAAGATAGAAATAAATGGTCTAGTATTTACAGAAATCGGGGATACTGGTCAGATTAGCAGAGTCGTATTCGTGGTGGTGCAATCTTGTGCTGAATGGTTATATAGGACATATTATAATATATATTCCATCTGATACAATGAGTGGTATCGGAGCTGATGGTAAATATTCTAATTATATGCCAAATAGCGTGGAAATTGAATTATTTTTAAATTTGTTCATAATTATTACTTTTACTTATTATTATTTTTTTATAACTATTAATACAGTTATAGCTTATAATAACAATTAATAAAATGTATTACAAGGCATAGAACAAGCCAAAGATAGAGCTTTCATAGAAAATCAAGATCTACAAATAATGATAATAAAACTACCGAGTCTTCTCGTACATTCATCTAATCTGAATACTGAGATGTTGAGTCCATATCTACAAAATCTCCCTGCTAAATTACCAGAATCTATATGGACATATCGTAAGTTTATCTTAAAATGTGCAAAAAAGTTATTGTTTTACAATAAAAATTACTACAATTTATTACTATTTCAGAAATGCAAAGTTTTCCATGGACATTGAGTCTTATCGATTTTCATTGTTACACATTGCAACAACAGACACAAAAGAACTTTATAAAGAAAGTTACATTAAATGCTACAGTAGCTCTTACAACTAAGACAGCTGCGACTGAATTAAATACACTTACTGCTCTAAGTGTTTGTGTACACATTGATAATTCACCTATCATTATTTCATTTTCGGAAGATCAGGTATTAATTTTTGCCGTGCTTTATATCAAGTGCAACAAAATTTATATTAAAAAGAATATAAATTTCAACATGCATTTATGTATCTCAGGTTATTTTTATGAGCAGTATAGTTTTAAATATCATAAAAATATTACAAACTTTATGCGATTCCCGGAAAGACAACGTAATTGTACCACAGAGCAACGAAATGCAAATTGTTCTTCCTGCTATACCTCAAACTCCGTCCACTCCGACTCAAATAATGTATCAAGAAGATACTACTAATTCAACTATGTCTACATCAAAAGATGATTTAGGACATGGTAAGCGGAATGTATTTGTTGTATTTGTTTTTGTCATTAATATCCAAGTTTTACAGAAAAAGATGGTTTAGTTGTAACAGCATGGATTCAGTGGACTATAACAAAGATAGCAATTAAATTATACATTATGGGACGAGAAGACACGCCTTCTTTAAAATTAATGTTAGAACTGGAAGATATTATAACATCATTAGATTTGCAATCGGTTTATATGCAGTTAAAAAATAAAATCACAACAGCCACGATATTTCACTATGTTAGGTAAATTCATTTGTATAAAATGTTTATACATATATATTAAGCTCTTAGCAAGAAATATTTTGAAAAACATTCCTATTATGTGCAATGATTATTTAATTGTTACATTTACATTGTGATTTCATAGAGGTCCACATGCATTAAATTGGGATGTTGGTGAATATGCTGGGCTGGTACTCTGCGGAAGGGAAGATAATTTGGAGAAAGGCGATGATTCCGGTTTTGTAAGTTTCACACTTACTCGTGCGAAATCCGGAAATGTATACACACGTTGGGGTACTCACAAGCGATACAAGCCTCAAAAGGTTAGATAAATATTCAATTATTGTATTTAATTACCCATGTAATTATTCATATTCTTGCTTAAATTATAAAGTAGAATATTAGATGTCATCTATTTACTTTTGAAATTAATAAAAACTCTGGTACTCTCGAATATCTAGAAAGAAATACTGCTTGACTCTACGTTATCTACGAACGGCTACATTTCTGAAATACTTATCAAAATGCAAATGGTCGATATAATCTTACCAATAAGTGTAATTAGCAAATATGCTCAATTGATGAAACCTTTTACGTGCCTTGGTTCATCTATTCAGAAAAGCACAGAATCTATTCGTAATAAAAACATGACAACACCATTAGTTGGTATAACCAACTTAAATAATGAATTATTGCCATTGATACATTTGGAATTCAAAGGTTTTCGTCTCATGATGCCAGCTTTCACTGATACGAATAAGTTACAACATGATTTATTAATGCTTCAGGTAAATCATTTTGCTTTTTGTATAATTAGCAATATAATATTTTTAAAAATATTTACGTGGATATTATATATTATATAGTTGGACGGGATTCGTATTACGCCAGATGCAGAAAATCCAATTTGTAGAATTCCATTGCGAACTGATATATATCAATTGGCTGCTCGAGCAAATATATTAAACGTACCAGGTTCGGCTGTAGAAGATCGTCAATATCAAATTAGTGTTAAAGGAGTGTGTGCATATACTACTACATGGAAGAATTATCAACTAAGCATTAATAAGGTTTATTATCAAAATTATTGTTTTCTTTTTCAAAATTCTTAAGGAAATGTTTTATACATTGACTAAAAATTTAAAAAAATTTATTAAAACATTAATACTATATAGATTGATTAGATTAATTAAAACGATGCATTATTGTTTTCAGAGAATGTCTCAATCGTACTTATATACAATGAACGAGAATCCAGCATTGGAGTGGAATAAGCTCGGGAATGGTAGTAGTCTAGATCCATACTTTTCAACATCTTCAGTATTAACAAAGTAATGCAATTAATAGAATTAATATATACGTGTACAAATATATATGACAATCGTATTCTAATTTTTATATTTAATTCCAGATTTGATCTTTGCTTAATTATTGCCCCAGCTGTCACATTTAAAGGAGATACAATAGTTTGTGGGAGTGCCGTTGAAGTAAATTGTATTACAGACATAGAATTGACAATAAATTTAGATCAAATTAAGTTAATATCGACACTCAACAATGAATTTATAACGTTACTATCTGGAAGTTTTGAAAAAATAGATGATAAAAATAGTTCTAATAATATAGCTCAAAGACTTCCTTCAGGATCTCAAAGCATTAAGCCTATTAGCTGGTTGAAACAAACATCAGATGATTCAGATATTGATTTCACAAAAGACAGTGGTGTCGATTTTGAAATGTCCAGCATGCATTCAACAATAATTGTAAGTTTTTGATGCATGTAAATAGCGGTTTATGATTTTGAGTTCAGAATTTACATTAAAAATGATTTTTTTATGATAGGGAAGACCCACAGCTGAAATTATGATACTTCCACCGTTTGAATTTTTAGTAAATTGTGGAAAAATAACATTTATCCTGTATGAAGTCCAGAGTACGTTTGTTGATTTAAAGGATAATGTAGTGAGTAATAAATAATTTTAAGTAAAATAATTAATTCAATTATTTAATTGGAATTAATTTATTTAATTATAGTATTAATATTATCTAATTTTTAAATATAATTATTTTTATATAGGATATACACAAAACTGATGGTGAAGACGATAATAATAATATAAAACAGCCATTACTTTATCTAATGATCAATCAACCAAATATTTATTTCTCTCAGCAACATTTATCTAAAAAAATACAAGTATGCCTTTATTATTTACTCATAAAAAATTAATATGCTGTTTATTAGTTTAAATATTTTATTTGAATTATGCAATTTGTAGATATCTTGTTTCGATATAACAACAGCGCTTGGCAATGTACAAAATCTAAACGCAATACCGACCGAAAAAGATTTCAAAATTTATATGATAGAAACAAAGCATGGTGATCCACATCCGGATACGGGTATCCCGCCTTCTTTTGTGACAGTAAAATCTGAAATTATTTTAGGCAAAAACCGTCAGTTTTTCATTGAAATGGGACGACCGACAAAAGTACATCTTTCTTTATCTCGGCTCAACCAACTCTATGATATACGGAATAAGGTAACTTAACGAAGAATGTATAACATATTCATGTGTTCAACAATTTTACATTGTATTTATATTCTAGCTATTATTGTGTTTTATTGATGACAATGTTACACAAGTATCTACAGAGAAACAGGAGATTACGCATACGGATTCTCAAAATTTAGCATCGTTGACAAAATCGAGGAAATTCAGTGTACCTGATCTACATTTAAATACCAAACAAATTGTATTATCTTTAAAGACTGACACTGGAGCAGAAATTATTATCAGTTTAGCATCGTTAAATGGAAATCTGTCGACACTCCTCAGACCAGATAGGATATATTCAAATCTGTCCATAGATTCTTTCATTGTATCTGCTATCTTAAACGGGAATATCAAAGTACTATTAAATCCATGGTGTTGCAATGTAACGACTTGTTTACTTTGGGAGTCTTCGTACAATAGCGAGATCATTCCACAAATACAAATACAGGCAGACAGTGAAAGTTTATATCTCGATTTCGGACCGGATCAAATAAAAATTATGAAAATGGTTATGCAAGACTGCCAGTTGCTCTTAAGCGAGCTCGCTTCGGTATCTACGAGTGAAAATAAAAACGAGAAGCAAATTGTGCTATCGACTGAACAACACTACAAGGATGATCTAAAGGCGGGTGCATTCCAGTTCGTTGATGGCACTGCGGATGAGTTACCTTTTCCGTATCAAGTTAGTTAGATTACATAAAAGTCACAAATATAATCGACATCAAAAAGTCTTAATCCTTTTTCTTTTTTTGCAGGTGGTATTTTTTGTTTATCCTCAACAGGTGATGGCTTGGAGATATCCGCAATCACGTATGTTAACAAGGATACACATATCTCCTGTTCCATTTGAAGTAAGTGAGAATGCTCAGTATCTTAAGCGAATAACATTAGTATTTAGTTTGAATAAAAAAAAACAAATATTTTATATATATATATATCATATATATATGTCGGAAAATATAATTTTTCTATTTTTGTTCAAATGTCTAAAGATATTTTTTTCTAATTCCGAGCCATGAAACAGTACAGCCTTGGTTAAAAAATATTAGGCACTTATATTTTTTTCATTGATTCAAAATTCTTTTATCTGTATTGTTTCCTAGTAGTTACCGATATACACATAAGTTTAAAAAATTCTTAAAACAAAGGATAATTTATAGCAAATATCGTAAATCAATTTTTAAATTGAAATGTTAAGTAATGGATAATCAGATGCATAATATTTTTGGCCACGACTATATTTTTATCCTCTTAATTCTTTCTATTACAGGCAGTGGATGCCGACGGTGATTACATCGACAAAATTCCCTGCGTTCTCGAATATTGGAGTGATAGTCACATGTCGTACCAGCGTTACGCCGATTTTTATTTATCGGAAACGGATTCCTACCGATTGGACCTGCCGGAAAAAGCACCGGCGCGAGCGGTAGCTTGCGTGTGGCGCGTAGTTATCCTATCCAACGGCAAACGACCGCTCTCAAAAAGCATCGTTTCCGCTCGTGCTCTCGCTGCCTGTTTGCGCATCGACTCTTACTTTAATCCCTTATTAATACCGAATGTTCAAATCGCTTTAAATATCGGCGTTCTCCATATATCTCTGTACAATCATATTGATACAAGTGTATATAATAATTTGCCGCCACCACTGGACAAGTATACTCTAAACGGAAAAATTCCCGAGATACAATGTTTCATGTCTATGGAACAAAAGGGAGCTGTTCTGGTGTTTAACAAATGGATGGACGATTCTATACTGCTCGACATCGGCGGCAATTTAAGCGTACACGTATTGGATTATAGTCATTTGACTATGCAGGAAGTGCTGGATGCCCTGGAAGGAAGATTTCAGCTATCGTTGTCGGAAAAGATAGACTTGTCATTAACGTGCAACCCGTTTACATTGAAATTGGGACCAGCGATAACTCACACTCTTGCAGTTTCTACTCGTTTATGGCTGGCATCTTTCGACGAAGAGGAAAAAAGCGTGATTGTCCTAACGCGTTACGTAATAGCCAACGATAGCAATATATCTATACGTTTTGGTCAAAGTGGTACTGGAGATAACATACTTCTTGAGAGCAGGCAGTGTAATTTTTATTCTTGGAGACAGATTGGCAATCAAATGATAAGGATATCAATCGAGGAGAACGTCTGGATATGGAGTCGACCTTTTCCTGTTAACAAAGATGGAGTCCAAGTGATAGAATTCAATAATTCGATAACTGGTCCGGTGGTCTTCGTAAATGTTACATCGCTTTCTGCCACACAAAAGCTCATAACATTCTCGGGGCAACTCGTGATTTCCAATCAACTAATAGATAATTTCGAGATGAGATTAGTAAAATACGAGGAAGAAGTTAGCTCTAAGGTAACAATCTCCAAGGAAGTGTATATCATACCGGGCAAGAGTTTTCCATCGTCTATCATGCTTGAGAATAACAAAAAAATGGCTATGCGGTTACGTTTCACCAACTTGACGCATTTATCTTGGACCGGGGACATTCCATTGCAAACCAATGTCAAATGGGGCCAGCCGTGGCTCGTCAAAGTACCTCTACAAGAACGCGGTCAATTTTTGAGTATCTGGGTACGGATTGTGACGCAAATGATACAAGACAAAATGAAAATTCTTGCGGTACTGAGTCCCCTGTACATGATCAGATCGCACCTACCAGTACCGGCAAGAGTACAGATGGAAACACCGTCTCTGAAAATGTCATCTAGCACAATGGTGAACGGTCGTGGTGAGTGTCAACAGCTGTACTGCCCCGGTACATTTGAGCACTTCCACCAGTTGACGTTTCAATTGGAATCTGGAGTCTCCGCGTCGAATCCTTATGTGCCGCTTTCGTACAGCTCCGTGGATCAACGAAAATTTTTCCGAAGACCTGAGATCGAGGATATCGATAAAATTCTGCAAGAACTCAAGGACAGAAAAGATCAAGTAAAGTGGCCTTTCCAGGGAGACGATATTGAGGAGTGGATATCTGCAGAACAGCCGCAAACGCATGTACAAGTGAAATATCAGGACGCAGGATTGGTATCCAGCACACTGCTGCTAGAACTGCAGCCTTGGTGTTTCATAATGAATTCGTTAGGCTGCCATATCTCATTGGTGTCGGAGGATACAGAGCTCTGTCAGATTCCTCACTATGGCATAGTCACGCCGCCCAAATTGGAGAGTACCTTTCACGTGGGTGTCGGAATCGGCGACACTTACTACACATCCCAAACGTTGCAATTGGCGCGACTCGACTGGAGCCAGAGCTTCTACATGCCTCGAATCTGCGGTCTCGTCCCGGTGGAGGGAAACATCAAGACATTCGTGGATTGCGGCACGAGTGTGTCCATCCTAAACATCGGTTCTTCGATGCACGAAGATATGCGTCTAGTGCGGATCACAAGCAGCCACGTGATCGCGAATCTGACACCTCAAGAATTGTGCGTGGCCACGCTCGCGGTGCACGAGGAAGCAAGGAATCTACAGTTGCCCCATGATCTCACTCCCTGCAGCTTGAATATCTCACCGTCCGAGGATCAGAGACAGGGTACGCCGATCGTGCAATGGTACACGTTGTACACGGAGAGTAATGTCGAGCCGCTCATATTGTACATATCTCTTAGTCTCGGCCACAGGTGGTCCTGTCCGATCAGAGTGGATCAAGCTATGAGCCGCAAATCCGTCGTGATTCCAAACGGTTCTTCCACTATGCCGGTCATCGTAACGACGCAGGAAGACAAAGGTAGCACATTTGTCGTGATACACAGCGACGATCATCCGCAACTGTTAATCGAGAACGCCTGCGGCTTCAAGATCCTGCTGGGACAAGCCGATGAAAAAGGGAATGAGATATTACCGGATAGCGTTCATTTCACATGGATATGCGAAGTCGATAGTGGAGCAATGTCCCACTATTCTCTTCCCTGTGTCAGTAATAGATTACCCGACACTACGGTTCCGAGCGCATTAAAGCAAATTTAAAGTGGTCAAGAGGCGTAAATCTGTCTGCGTTGTCATCTACACCAATAGATCAGTATCTGCGATTACCTTCGTACGGTGATGTAAAGCTTATAATGCATAATCGCTGCTACACCACTCACATAAGCATCGTGCCTATCTCCCAAATTGAAATATCCGCTCAAGACATTAGGAGCAGATTGTTACGAAAAAAGAGCACGGCGAAGGATCACACCATATACAATAATCCTCCTTCACTGAAGAGACTAGAAGAAGATAAGCTGTTACTGTATGTACAAAGTTCGAGTAGCTCAACATCGTTAACGAGCTTCTTCTCAGCCCAAGAAGATATTTTGACGACGGAACAAATACCCTTGAGCAATTCAAAGCAATTGGTTTCGAAGATGACGGATACAAAAACTTGCACTAACGAAGATCGATTGAAATCTACCGATGACACTAATTCAACTCATTCGAAGGAAGGTTCTGCAATCATTTACCTGCGTGCTTGCACTATCGTTATCCTTCATGATATCAATGAAAACGCACAAAGGATCGAAGTCGCCAGTCTGTCTATGACAGACTTAGTCATGACTGTAAATTCAAAAGCCAGATTTATTAATCTCGATTGTTACATAGGCGATTTGCAGTTAGATAATCAATTATTCGATCAGGGAGGTTTCGATTTCCCCGTAGTATTAATAAATCAAAATCCGTTGCCGAACAGAGAAATGGCATTTTACAGCAATAACTGTTTAATAACGAATATGGAAAAGATCAAACAAGATTCTTTGATAGCCATCGAGTATGTCTGGGAAATAAATGAAAATATCATAGGTATATATTTTATATATTTACAAAATTACATTATTTTAATAAAAAATATTTGGGTAACGAAAATAATGTTTTTAAGCAGATAAATGTTATTTAAATTCAAACAATAAAGTCAAAGCTCTAAGCCAAGCTGAGTTTTAATGCTAGTTAAGTAATAACAATAAATTACAATAATATAATATATGTTATTTATTTCATGAATAATAGTAGATATTTCTGTCTGTTACAGCATCAAAGGAATATCGCATGAAGATTGCATCTATTAGTGCATACATTGAGGACACATACATAACGCAATTATTAGATTACGCGACTTCGATGATACCACCGCGACTAGTTCTGGGTGACAATCTTAAAAAGATGCAAACAATAGCTGCGTTGAACGCAGTGTACATACCAGAGTATATCATGATCGATTCAAAAATCTTAAGCAAACCACTAAGATTGCAAAACTTCGTGATAGAACCGCTATCAATTTTATTGAGCGTTCACACTTCTATGCGACTCTACGTTGCTTTAGATCATTCTCCACTGTACTTCGGTACCTTCGAAAGGAAGAACTTGCTGACCACTCCTTACAGGCTTGGCAATGCACTTACCATGCATTATTTATCTGGTGCTATATTCGGAGCAGGTCGGTATAATATTACGTATCTATAAAACATTTTATATACATTAATTTGATATAACAGAGTAAGTAACGACCATTATCCATTTATCAGGTTGGGTAGTTGGATCATTAGAGATACTTGGATCACCGGGAGGTTTGGCGCAAGCACTTGGATCCGGTCTTAGAGACTTTGTTTCATTACCATTCCAAGGACTATTACAAGGCCCATGGGGTTTTATCGTTGGAATTACACACGGATCAGCCAGCTTGATGAAACATGTCACAGCAGGTATGCAAACTATTAATATTTATTTCGTTGTTCTGTGAATACTTAATAGACAATTCATATTTCGATTTATGTATACAGGTACTGTAAATTCCGTAACGAAATTGGCATCTAGTGTCGCACGAAACTTGGATCGTCTAACATTGGATGAGGAACATCTTCAGCGACAAGAGGAGTCGCGCAGAATGCGTCCTCAAGGCATGGCACAAGGACTTTATCAAGGCTTAACTGGTCTTGGAATGAGTCTGCTTGGTTGGTAATTACTTAAAAAATATTTTTCAGATAAAAACAGAATGCAATAACTAATTGTCAATTGTTATTCAGCGGCTGTGGCGGGCTTGGCACATCATCCTTTGCAGCAAGTGTGGTCAGGCGAAGCGACGACCAAAAGTTTAGTCACCGGAGTTGGACTCGGTTTAGTTGGCGTCGTTACTAAACCATTGAGCGGTGCCGCGGAGTTGGTTGCTCTTACAGGTCAAGGATTACTGCAAGGAGCTGGATGGAATTCATTGCCCACAGTAATAGACGTCTTCTAATTTCTATAGTTTCACATTTTACTTTCATAATGATTTTCCTATATTTTTACAGCCACGTCAGAGACCAATCGTGCAGTACACTACTGGCAATAATAGCACATCTGTACGGTATACTTGGCGCTTGTCACCTTTACTCGATCACTTTAATCACAGTCCCGACAGTATCCTTCACGTAACCAGCGCAGACTACGTGATTCATCAAGGCAGTAATCGCGCAGTGACGCTCGTCCTCACACGACAAGCTTTATTACTCGTTAATATGGCGGAGGACAGTGTAGAACGGATATTTTCGCTGAAAGAACTAACAAGTGTCGATCATATCACAGAATCGACGATGTTGTGCTTATATTGTCCACCAACAGCAATACAATTAAGCAGACCGTTATCACCGGCTGAACACGAGGTAAGATACTGAATTCACGAACATCAGATACAAATCACGTACATGTAATACAATGTTTTTCTTTTCTTTTAAGATGAATCAAGAAATGAGAGCACGTGTTGAGGAATATGTGCGGACAAGTAGCACTGGTTTGGCCAGTGTATCAACCAATAGTGACAAGCAGTCTGATACTTTTGAGAGAGCATCCCCACATCCAGAACATACCCTTACGTTTTACGTTTGCCCAGACACTCGTAATTATTTATTATCGCTGTTCAACGTTGCCAAGCGACAAAATCAAGGTTCCGGTTTCACCGTTTTATAATCAAACGTATGTTCAGACGGTTATAATTAAGTGCAATGACTGAGAAAATATTCCAAATATTACTATATGTCAAAACAAATGCATTCAAACTCAATAGTTTTTTGAATATTGATGTACATCTTACTTTTTAAAATAGTATTTCAAGCTTATGAAGCTTGTAATATTATAATACATTCAAACAGTATTATAATTAAAAAGATAAATTAAAAAGAAAGTAATTCCCAAAATTCCCGTGTAAATATAATCAAGATTCCAAAATAATTATATTTGAATGTGTATCTCCATTTTTATTAAAATATATTTGTACAACTGGCATTTTCATTTTATGTAAGAAATATACAGAGTGCTTTATAACATGTGGACCCCCTTTAGCAGTGGACGGACAAAAGATAATGAAAAAAAATATAAATATGTATTTTATTTGACCTTGTTTTAGAGTTATACTATAGTCATTTTTGTGCTCCTATAAGATGCTACTATTTAGAAGATGCTCGAAATGATCACAGTTTTGATACTATCTGACAATCGCTTTTTAAACAAATTTGCATATCGTAGACGTTCATGTAATTTTTGATGACATGTTTTCTTATCTGGCAGATCTATTAGAGAAATGATCCGCGTATAGACGTCTTATTTCGAATGAATTACATTGGACAAATATATACATCAAAAGCATGTCTACATTTTTTTTTATGACTTGAATTTATTCATAATTACTTTCAACTCATGTCAAATTAATGAATTATTAAGTGCTGTAGCAAAAGAACAAACTGAAATAAATACACTCCATGAACAAAATATATAACAAAACATATGAAATCAATGAGGTTGGGAAATATCCACCCCTATTAACCTGGACCCCCCACCATCGAAATTCAAATTCGCGATAAGTCAAAAATTTTTTTGCTCCAGCGGTTTATGAGCAAAAAAAAAACAAATGGGGGGTCCAGGTTAAGATTAAGTTGAACCCCCCATAATGAAAAAAATAGATCCAGTGGTGCTGCAAAAAAATTAAGCACACACAGATTTTTTTGCTCTTTATTTGCTACAGATAGCGTAAAAAAAATTCGAAAATTTTATATTTTTAAATAAATATCAATAACAGCCTATATGTTACGAATTTATAATATATAAATTTAACATTAAGCTAAACAAAGTATATAAATTATGTAAAATATTTATAATGTTGCTTATTTAAAAAATTCAGGAACGTACAAATTATGAAAACTACTTTTATTTCCAAGCTATCACATACCGTATGAACAATAAAAAAATAAACTTTTATATGCATTACTTATACATATAATTGTATATGTACACATATAATGATAACGTAACTTTACATGAATACAAGTTACGTTGTATGTGCCAAAATATTACAAGCGATTCTATCACGAAATTGTCGTAAATTATATATAATATTGATCTAACGATTCAATGTATTACAATAATATATTTTGCATATCGTTAACAAAATCTGGCATAAAATAAATACTAAAAAAATTGAGTTACATTGATTTATTTATACTTTATCCTCTTTCTCTCTCTTTGTTATCTATTTAAAATATTGTCATAAATCCGTTCAATCTCGCACGATTTATAAGAAAATCCACAAAATTTACACTGGTTATTTTCTATAGATAACAATATTTTCCTACATACCACATGTTTACATGGAAGTTTATAAAAAATACTATTATTACAACATTCACATTTGTTAGATATTTTATGTAATTCCACTTTTTCTGGTGTGGTAAAGCGTTTCATGTTGGATAACAGAGTTTTGAAATTGTTATCTAAGAAATTGTCATTAGCCAATTCATCATCCTTATGATTTTGAAAATTGCCATCAGTTAATTTGGAGGAAGTTGAAACATTTGTGAGGTGTCTTGGTTTTATTATAGCACTGGCAGTGGGTCGTTTGGGCATAATTGCTATAGGCAGTTTATGGCAATATTTTTTTATAGGCTGCATATTATTATTTGTCGTCTGCTTGTTTGTATTTGATTTAATATCTTCGGCAGTCCTTTTTAAATTTCTATTTAATACAAATTTTGGTATTTCAATTATTCTTCTATCTCCTGCTATAATTGAAGTTGGATCGCGGCCTAAGACTCTTGGCATATTCTTTATTTCATTCTGATTGCTGTTGTCCATTAGAAACTTGTCAATCCTCGACTTAAGTGCAGATGCCATGACTGGTCTACGGTCATCAATAAATCTCAAGCCTGTGAATGGATCTGATAACGGTCTACCCCAAATTGCTTCATTTTCTCCATGTTTCTCTAATGTGGTTTGATCTATTATTTGTCCACAAGGTAATACAATTGGCTGAGTCATTATTTCCCATGTGATAGGATCTAGGAAGCTTTCAGGAATGTCAATGGTTGCATCATTCTTCAGTCTACATATGAATACAAAATTTATATTAATTATTAATTAATATTACGCAACTTATTTATATCTCATTTGCTATAATACAAGTAAAAAAACGATGTTTCTAGAAAATGTTTAAATGTTTTGAATTATTAAAATTTTATAATTTTAATTTTAAAATATAAATTTGATATAAAAAAATGATTGTAAAGGAATAAAAGTGTATATTTTTAAAGTTTTTTTTCTTTTTCCCTTCTGTTCTTTTTTACAAGCAACTCAAAAATTCTAATTTTTGAACTATGTCATAACAAATGAGCAATATAATTTCTAATTTATATATGTATACCTGTTATGTATCTCTCTGGTATTTACAGAAGTAGTGTTTACAGAAGTTTTTAATGCAGGCAACATTGAAGAAGCTCGTTGTTCAGCCCATAAAACATGTACACTTGCTATAACATCTTTCCCACAACGTGGGGATACTGTTCCCCATACTTGAACTTTTCCTAATGCTGGTACTGAGTTTTCTGTTTTATATATTGTTATACGTAAAACATGAGCGTATTTAGTTGTTACATATCCCTTAGAAGCTTTAATAAAACATCTCAAGAAATTTGGTGGTGTGGCGATCCCTGTAGGGTCGATGTCACTCGAGTAAAACAACAAACCAGCATCATGGGGACTCAGCTGTCCACTGGACATACAAGTATACGGAGTATCGTTATCGTTGGTATTCCTAAGGGAAAGCTGAAAGCCCGACGACTTCTGTGACCCGACGGATGGCCAAATCAATATATGATTAATAGACACGTTACAGAGAAACGTAATGTCTATGTGAATTGGTGGCTTGATGCAGGAGTATGCCAAATATCCTTTGTAGGAATCGTTTATCAAATTGGTCACTTCATATCCATCCATGCTGATGGCACTACATTTAATTTCTGGACGTAAGCGAGGATCACAAAAATTCAGAAGCATCTTTCATATAATTGTAAACCTAATTTCATATAATTATAGACCTTTTTATAATCGTAGAACTAATGGTATCTGCAATATGGTATATGAAATGTACATTTTCTGTTCAATCAATCATCACAAAAAAAATCACTGCATCATACATTCGTTAGAAGTTAAAAACACGAATTTTCTATGTGGTATGATCAGTTAGATCAGGTATATAGATATACATATATATCTTCTTCTTCTTCTTAGTTAATGGCTACGTTTACACCGTGCGATAGGTGTCGATGG